ATATAATATAATGATAATATAATATCGGTTGTGTTTGTGTCGAACGTTTTGTTACATCGAATGCACCGGCAAATTAGGGAGTATAAAGAAGGTATATAAGCATGAAAAGTAGATTGCATAGTCATGTGATGCACTAAAAACATTAATGCCTGTTGTTGGGGGCACTATGCTCTCATAGTGTTGCTGAGGGAAGGAATAGTTCCTTCCCAAAGCAACACTATGAGAGCATAGTGCCCCCAACAACAGGCATTAATGTTTTTAGTGCATCACATGACTATGCAATCTACTTTTCATGCTTATATACCTTCTTTATACTCCCTAATTTGCCGGTGCATTCGATGTAACAAAACGTTCGACACAAACACAACCGCCGTTCGAAACCCTTGCGTCGAACGCCGAGACGCAGGAGATTCGTGACGTGAACACAATGCGTTATAATAACAATGCGTCGCGCAAGCAATAGTGCCCGCTCAGGCGGGCACTATCGCTTCATAGTGCTTGCTGCGTTATCCAATGGAATTTCAACGATTTATCACGTGATGCACTAACGTCCTATAAATGTTCCTTCGTTTGAATTGAGAGAACCCCGGACGTTAATCTCGAAGCTTCGCTGCTATTTCAGCCTGCGAGGAGGGCGTCACTACGAAGCATCTTTACGTGCGATTCGACCTACAGCTGGATGACTGAGCGTCTCCCGCAACGACAACAAGAGGGCGCCGCTGAGTGACGCATCTCTCCCGGCGACGACGATCTGAAGTAGAGAAAAAACGCTTATCTCCCTGACACGTCGATTTTCGCGCGTTTCTACTTCCGCCCGACAAGTCGATTTCCGCGCTTTTCGGCATCCGTCCGACGCGACGAACCGAGACGCGAAAAACTGGGGATGCCTCGGCGGCGCTCGGACGTGGCCGACGCGGCGATGCGGGAACGTTGCCTCAGCGTCGTCCTCGGACGCATGACGATGAAAGCCCTCACGGCCGGCAACGACGAGGACGCGTCGTCCCTGCTCTCGCGCTGGTCCTACCTGCGCGACGAGAACGAATCGTTCGACCCGCACGCTCGCTCGATCATCTACGGATCCACTACGAAGCGAGAGCTCGTCTCGCGCCTCGTCGAGTACTGCGCAGAGAACGCCACAGTCGCCGACGTCGCCCAGCTGGATTTGCTGGCGGTGCGCGCGGCCGGGAACGCGACGTGGCAGGCGTACGAGCTCGCCGACGAAGTCGCGATCGAGGGGGCGCTGCCGAGTGACCAGCAGCTGCGGAAGCGCCTGCAGAGGGCGCTGGCGCCGCTTGTCGAGCACGACGTCTACGTCGAGACGAGAGCCGGCGCCACCTGGATGTGGCTGTGGATGCACGGCGGCGGCGGCGGGCGGGTTTTCCGCGCGTCGGACGTCGTGTACGCGGCGTGCGTGCCGCACACCGCGCACGTGTTCACGACTCGGACATCGCCGATGCGCCGGCGCGCGCTGACGCACGCCCTCGCCGTCACGTTCGGATGCTGCGAGGTGCGCGAGATGCCGCTGAGGGGGCGCTGCCTGCGCTCGCTCGCCCGGCTTGCGCTGCAGCGCAACGCGCTCCCGGGGCTCTCCCACCAGCTACACAACGAGCTTGATCTGCCCGCGGCGCCCCCTCGTGGTCGAGCGAAGCGCGCGGCGCCCCCGCGGTTGGACGGGCGGGCGGTGCGGGAGGACGAGGGGGAGCGGGCGGCGAAGCGACAGCGGGTGGACGCGGCGTACGGGACGAAACCACAGCCGACGCTGGAGCAGGTACTAATTAGTAGTAATTAGGTAGTCAGGGTTCTCCCTACGTTGCGCAAACGGGGCGCGCGTGCCCCGTTTGGGAAAACTCCCCCCTGTTTGAATTGTTGCGCCCCGTTTGGGAAAACTCCCCCCTGTTTGAATTTCATCCTGGGGAGAACCCTGGTAGTGTTGAGTACGTGCTGTTAGTAAATAGTGATACATTGTAGAATTCACTGTAATTAAATAGTATTTAAGACGACTCGACCGACGTTCGATTTCTGGCTCGCGGACAGAACTGCAAAGCTTTTTAAAAAAAAATCTCTCTAGATATCACACCGCTTCTGTTCTAACGCCCACTGACGACCACCGTTTTCGTTCCAGGTGCAGTACCGGCTGAAGACGCGTTTCCGCGGGCTGCAGGCGGCGGAGATGGACTCCGGGCAGCTGTTCCGCTGCCGCGTGACCTTCACCGGCAGCAGCGTTCTGGACGGCTTCCGAAACCTCGTGTCTGCGGGCATGGCGACCTGGCCGCTGCCACCTCACGTCTCCAACCTGCACAGGATGGCTCGCAACCTCATCGTGCTTGAAGATCGCAGAGACGCGCATACGAGCGGGTAGCGTCGTCACGCCGACCGCAGCGACGCACAGACGGGCGGGCAGCATCGTCACGCCGACTGCAGAGACACGCAGACGAGCTGGTAGCGTCGTCACGACGACCGCAGCGACGCACAGACGGGCGAGCAGCATCGTCACGCCGACCGCAGAGACGAGCGGGTAGCGTCGTGACGACGACCGCAGCGACGCACAGACCGGCGGGCAGCATCGTCACGCCGACTGCAGAGATGCGCAGACGAGCTGGTAGCGTCGTCACGACGACCTCAGCGACGCACAGACGGGCGGGCAGCATCGTCACGCCGACCGCAGAGACGAGCGGGTAGCGTCGTGACGACGACCGCAGAGACGCGCAGACGAGCGCGTAGCACCGTCGCGCCGACAGCAGAGATGCGCAGACGACCAGGTAGCGTTGTTACGCCGACCGCAGAGATGCGCAGACGAGCGGGTAGCGTTGTCACGACGACTGCAGAGACGCGCATACGAGCGGGTAACACTGTCACGCCGACCGCAGAGACGCGCAGACGAGCGGGTAACATCGTGACGTTGTCGTGCCTACGGGGGAAAGGATCGGAAAGGAGGCATGTTGACTTCACAACTTCACGCTAGCAGAGGAAGCTTGAGGACGATTTCTTAGGAGACATCATGACATGTGTTGACTACATCTTCATAACATTGTTGTCTGCAGGGAAAGTCTGCAGACATGTTTGTTGTTTGCTTTGAAAACTCAACGATGAAGTCGTTGTAACGTAATCACGTCGTGCTAGCTCGTAGCTATGGGGAAGATTTGCAAGGAGCTAGCGAGTTGGGATCTTATGCTATCACTTCATAACCTTATTCTGCTAGCAGAGAAGGGAGCTTTTCTTGAGTGGCTAGGAGCAACATGAACTTCACAACCTGCAACGAACCTTATACCAAGAAGAGGATAGATCTATGTACGATATAATTTTTCTATTCTGAATCTATTTTACATTTTATGTCATTTTAATGTTTCCTAATACTTGACCTTGTCAAATTGTTTTAGTAATTTGATATTTGTTGCCATATTAGACTAGCGTGAAAATTAGTTCTTATTACACACGTATTTCTTAGAAATGTGTTATGGAAAGTTTTTCCATAGGATTTTATTTTGTTTAAATTACATTCTTCAATATCGTTGATATGATTATTAATTTATTATAGGTCATGATCATAGTATTGGTGACAATCACAGTTGTGTAAGCTTCCCCACTTTATGTCTTAATGTACTAGCTTACAAGTAAATAGTTTCTTATTCTTCATCATTTTAATTTCTGTTGAATGTACAAATTCACATTTTATTAGACATAAGCCGCGTTTACACGTAGCAATAAATTCGGTATTTAGCGTTCACACGAGGCAAAATACGCAGTCCAAGAAATACGGAATCTAAATAGATTCGGTATTTGTTGAAATACGCGGCTTCCCAGATGCCGAATTATTTGCCGTGCTTGAGAAATTCCGAATCTCTTGGACTGTTGGACCGCGTATTTCCTCGTGTGAACGCTAAATACCGAATTTCTGAAGCCGCGTATTTTATAGACTGGTCCGCGCTCAACAGTTACACTCGCGTAACGTGAGTATGTCGAGCCTGGACCAGTCTACGTATTTTATCGGCAGTTGCTGTGCACTGATTGTTTATTACGCGTTGATCGCTTGAACGCATTGTTTTTTTTTCAGTGTACTAAGCAGCTCGCAGCTCGCAAATACGGCATTTCTGAAGCCGTGAAACAGCGTGTGAACGCTCGGTCGCGTATTTGTCTCAGATTCAGTATCTCGCAAATACCGAATTTCATAAATACGGAGTCGTGTGAACGCGGCTATAGTAAAATGGGTGTAGAAAAGTATTATGACAATAAAAAAAAGTTTATTACAATCTTCAAAAGCTCTATTATTTTACAGGCTTCACCTAGTACATTTAATAAAAACACGTTCAGTTTATGTACAAAGAAACCTTTTCGACGAGATCCGTATAAAATTTATATACAGTAGTTTATAAATACAAAAATCATGAACATATATAAAAATACATTGTCGATATGAATCAGTTAGGATGTACAGAGTACGAGGAGTTACTGTCGGTGTCTCTCTGTGCCGGGTAACTTGCGGTGTGGTTATGCGATGTGTGATGATGACCATCGATCTCTAACAACACTTTATCCAACATGCCCTGGAATGTCTGCGACTCGTCACGGTTTTCACCAGTGCTGCCACCTGCAATCGAAACCCTCCTGGAGCCAGACTCGTCGATTTCCTTGACGCGATAGTCGAAGATCTTGTTCCGGTCTTCAGCCTTGGAAGCTGGTGAAGTCGGTGTTGTTAAAGGAATTTACAAATTACTTCATAACATCTTAACTACTCATCAAGTCAAACACTTTAGATCAATCAGTTCAAGATAGAACAAATTTTTTCCCAGCCCCATCTAGAACCGCTTCTACCAGATTTATAATTGACGTCCGTATAAATATTTCACAATTTGATTGCAGCGATTACAAACTGAATTATTGACACATTATTGTCAATATTATTATAATAATCATTATTATTAATATCATCATCATCATCATCATTATTATCTTTAATTATTGCAAGCTGAATTAGTGATAGCAAACTCACAGTGATTCGACATGGATTTCGTTGGCGTATCCGGCTCGTCGTACACGCTCGACGTTCTGTGTTGCAGCAGCGCTTGTTCGGGCGAAAACAAATACTGGCCATCTTCATACGTCCTCAGTTGGCCACTGAGATGTCGATTGCGTGACTCCTAAAAATCAATTCGTTTCGTTTAGCGAGGCGTTACGAGGAGATCTGCTAGGTTTTTCCACGCTCGTAACTTTACGACGTTTCTGTCTACGAGAACAAAAAAGACCATTGTTGTTGTACCTCAGCGATCTTGGTGGTAACTCGTCAGCGAATCTCTGATAGCAAATATTCGTCGATCATCATCGGTACTAAGACTAGTACTAGCGCGTGCCACGCCCCTACCCTAGAGAACCGCTCCCGAGGGAAACACTCGACGTGCCCTTTATATAGACAAGTGTTGTTCTATAGAGGTTTGACTGCATCGTAGGACGGGAGGACGTCTCGACACTTATGGTTTGTTGACGATGCGCATCACGTTGAGGCCAGCAATCTCGTTACCGACAACGGGGCCCGCATTTTGCGTTTTTCGCTCGCGATGCTTTCTACCTGCGAGTGTATGGTCACTCTAGCTTCATGCAGCTGCCTCTGGCAGTCGTTTAGCTGCGTCATCAGTGCCTGTAGCTTGTTTTCCCGCTGTCGAATGTCTCTGCTCGCCGCGTCCCGACTCTCGCGACTCTCATCCCCGCAACGACGCAACTCAGTCTGCAGCGACGCCACCTGTAGGGATAAAAGTGTGATAACCGAGACTGCAGTGACACCACTTGTACACGTAGGGATAGTGTGATAGCTCAAACTGCAGTGACGCCACCTGTAGAGATAATGTGTGATAGCTCAGACTGCAGTGAGGACCAGGGCCGTAGCCAGAGGTAAATTTTGTAGGAGGCAAATGTTGTGAGTTAAAGAACAAGTAGCGAAGCGAGCCAATAGGGCGTGGGGTATGGGGCCCGCTTAATTTTTTATTTTTTAGAAATTTTGTAGGAGGCATTTGCCTCCTATTGCCTAATGGTAGCTATGGCCCTGGTGAGAACCCTGTAGAGATAGTGTATGATAACTCATACTGCAACATTGGCACCTATAGGAATGAGATGTGATAACTAATTAGAGTGAAGTGATGCTACCAGCCAGTAAGATAAGTATACGAGATAATAATATATTTCTAACTATGTACACTGCAAACTGGACAGAACAGTAAAAGATAACATCATAAGTTGTGCGAGCCCCGTGCATCATCATCTTCACTATGACCATCATCATCATCATCATCATCATCATCAGCATCATCATCTTTAGCATCATCATCGTCATCATTATATTCACCATGATCATCATCATCATGACAATCATCAGCATCATCGTCATCATCATCATCGTCATCATCATCGTCATCACCACAAAAGATCAACGCAGGTAATTAGTAAGGGTCCCTTCCTCGCCGCAGCACCGAAGAAAACGAGCATTAAGCTTAACGAGGGCAGCGTTGACGGGCGACGCACACCTGAGATTGATGCTGCGTGCGCTGCTGCTGCAACTCCCTCTGCTGCTGCTCCAGCTCTGTGGCGAGCGATGCCTCCCTCACTCGCAGCGCCCCGATCTCGTCCGTCATCCGTTCTGCGTCCGCCTCTTTCCTCTGAAGCATGCGAAAAACACACGACACTGAGCATTTCCTTCGTAGCTTCCTTAGCTCCACGCCAAAGAGAGAACTGACGCTTAACTTTCTTCGTAGCTTCCTTAGCTGAAGAAAAAGCCACTCCGAACAGGTTGACTGAGCCATGGCGACACGTCGTGGATAAAGTTTTGTAACCGACCCGATGGGGTAGAGTGATTAAGGATACTCTCAAGGTTTTAGGCAAAATTTTACCGATTTTTCATTTTCAACTTTATTCGATGGCTAACACTATGTAATTAAAACAAGTGATTGATTTTATTCATTCGTCAATAAACGTTTAATCTTCATTAGAGCAATACCCATGCAAAAGGTGGAGAGTATCCTTAACAGGCAGGAGCAATGATTTCGCAATAAATCCTTGAAAGTACAACGACTCACGTTGTATATGTTAGCGAGCTGCTGTAACTCTGTTCTCAGCGTGCTCTCCCTCTCCTCAACATGCTCCAGCTTAACGGATGCTTCGTGCAGCCTCTCTCTCACCTGTCAACGACAAGTCCCTAATTATCACCATCAATAATTATGTATTTATATTATCAGGAGTGGATAATAGATATCTCTATTATCTAGTGGATAAGAGTGGATAATCACTCTTAATTCACTCTTAACCACAATAAGAGTGGATTATCAGGAGCGTATAAGAAAAATCTCTATTATCCACTCCTGATATTATGTATTATGTTATATTATTATATTATGTATTATATTATATACTATATGTACACACACACATACTCGTATATGCACACCTGCCCGCACGTGAACACAACCAGCACAAAAACCCAAATCACGCATACTACTGTACTACATAAACTATCTGATATACCATCAACAACATACTATCCCATCCGGGATACATAGCGAACCCGACGTATCTCCTGTATAACATTACAAATGATATAAATATGAATTTAATTAATTAAATAATTAAATATATAATAAATAATAAATAATAATAAATAATAAATAAAATCAATTTAATTAATGTCGCTACGTGAATCTAGTTTCGCGAGGCAGCAGACGAACAACATGCGCGAATCTCATGCTCGTCGTCGCCGTCGGCAACGCCACGCACCTGTCGCTCGCTGTCCCTCCACGTGTCAGTCTCCGCGGCGACAGCGCGCGTCTTTGCGTCGAGCTCCCGGGTCAAGGTCGCGACCTCATCCTTCTGGAACGCGACGATGCGCTCGAGGTCGGAGACGAGCTTACAGATGGCAGCACCGTCCACCTCGCTCTTCTGCCTCGCCTCGCCGAGTCTCGCGGCGACGTCTCGCGTCTCGAGCTGAGACGCGTCGAGATGCCGCTGCAGCTCCTGAATCTGAAGCCAACGGATCGAGACGACGATGACGATCATGATGCTGCTGATGACGATGATGATGGTGATAACAATGAAGTTGCTGCTGCTGGTGATAGTGCTGCTGATGACGATGACAATGCCGATGGTGATGACGATGACGATGCTGCTGATGATGATGACGGTGATGATAACAAAGGTGATGACGATGACGATGATGATGGTGATGACAATGAAGTTGCTGCTGCTGGTGATAGTGCTGCTGATGACGATGACAATGCCGATGGTGATGACGATGACAATGCTGCTGATGATGATGATGGTGATGATAACAAAGGTGATGACGATGACGATGATGCTTATGATGATGATGATGATGATAAATCAGGTGATGATTCTGCTGGGGACAATGATGATTTCGATGGCAATTCTGATAATGACAATTGCTCCACCAGATAGATAAATTTGAAATAAAATAATGATATTATATCATAATATCAAATAAATAAATGAAATTCTCAACAAAAACATTGAGAAGAGCATAGATAAAAAAAACGGCAACCGGCGATACACGGCAAGGGACAAGTGAACGTGCGAACGACAGCTGCCTACCTGTGTGTCCTTCGCGCGTTCTTTCTGCACGGCGCCCTCTAGATGCTGATTGAGTTGCAACGCTTGCTGTTCCATGTTGACGCGGAAAGTCTTGAACTGTTGCTCCAAACACTGAACCTGTTGCCGACAGCAAACACGTTAAACCATTCGCAAAACGCGCCACGACTATAAAGTTGGAAACCAAATGCATTCAACTACGGACGTTCCTATGTTGCCCACGTCAAGTTACAGTATTAAGTTATTAGTTACGGATTTCGGCCATAGATGGCGCCACGCACCTGCAGGGTTCGCTGCTGCAGAAGTGCCTGCTTCTCCGCGGCAGCCGCTCGCAGCTCCGTCGCGTCGAAGTCTCTCTCGCTCAGCTCGCTCTCCGCAGATCTAGACGGGAAGGAGCAGTCAGTACGCTGACGTAACTACGCCAATGTAACTATGCTTACGTAACTACGCTTATGTAATGACTGACGTAACTACGCCGACGTAACGATGCTAATGTAACCAGATGCGTGTTCAACAGCGCGAACGCTCGCAGCATGAACGCAACGCCACTTGAATGACAAGCGCTCGATATATCCAAGATGGCGGCCACCATGCACCATGGTGGCTTCCTCAGCGGATTTTAATCGCGAGATTTTAATGTCTTCGAAAAAGTACTATTAAACGAATTAGCAGACGAAATTGATATGATCTGAATTCAGAAGTGAATGAAAGAATAAAAGTCAGAAATGTTAGATTCGCATTCGCCAGATTGCCTGTCGCCATCTTGATAACAACTCGCGCGATGCGCGAACAGTCTCGGGAGCAGGATCGCGCGCGCTCGCGAGCGCTCGCCCGCACAGTGTCGTTCAGAAGGCGAGCGTTCGCGCTGTTGAACACGTCTTAGGCTCTATCGTTGAACGCTCATTTAACGTGTAGTAGTAACGTACATTTCAACATTTCATTTTACCACAAAAACCCTGCGCGGGGTTATATACTTATAATAATAGTATGATAAATACTATTATTAATTTTTAACGATGCAATCGGTGATCTTTTTGTGTAGTTATAATTTTAATTTTATAATAACTGCGGATTCGGTCACCCATACGTTATTTGTGTGCGATCTCGCGGGGAATTAAATATACGCCGGCGAGGCGGCTGCACGATCTGGCTAAGGCATTGTAATCAATCGAACAAGGATTGACTCTGCCCCGTGGAGCCTCGACGCGCGACCGGAGCTCCCCCTGGCGACCGGAGCTCCCCCTGGCGACCGAACAACGCGCGCTCGTCGTCACCTGAGTCGCCGCTGCAGGTCGGCGATGCGATCCGACTGCTCTTTTGTTCGCTTCTCGGCGGCGGCGAGCTGCGACGATGCCCTCGTCATCTCGGCGACGAGCACGCGCGCCTGCGTCTCCTGCAGCGCCGCCTCCTCCCTCGCCGCTACCAGCTTCTCCTCCGCCTCCTCCACCTTGCTCTCGTGCTCCGTCACTGAGAAGCAGAGAGGAATGAGATAAGTATAGACATCTCACATGCCCGATCGGGTAGAGCATGATGTCGATTAATAGCATTATAATCTTAACATCTCACAAATCAAGCTGTGTACCGATGAGAATGTCGATAAATAGGCCATTTCTAACTAGACATCTCACGATGCACCGTAGTGTAGCGTGAAGATGCTATAAATATGCATATAATCTTAGACATCTCACATTGCAACGGCGTGTGTACGAGAGATGTTGATACAAATAAGCATGATAATCTAGACATTCTCACATGCACCCGGTCGTACGATGAGAATGTTCGATAAATAGCTATTAATAATCTAGACCATCTACATGCCGCGTGTGTTATCGATGAGATGTCGATAAGAATACGCATTATAGTATCTTAGTACGTCTCTAGCATGGCACGCGTGTGTTACGATTAGAGTCGATAAATACCATTATAATCTTAGACAATCTCACATGGCACCCGTGGTGTACTGATTCAGATGTCTGATAAATAGCATTATATATCCTTAGACATCTCGACATTGCACTGCGTGTGTTATGATGAGATGTCTAGTAAATAGACTATAATCGTTAGACATCTCACATGCACGCGTGTCAGATGAGATCTTATAAATAGCATTATAGATCTTAGACATCTCACATGCACGCGTGTGTATCGATGAGATGTCGATAAATAGGTCATTATAGGATCTTAGACATCTCACATCACGCTGTGTGATGATGAGATGTTCGATAAATAGCAATATAATTCTTATTGACATCTCACAGGCACTGCGTGTGTATGAGAGATGTTTGATAAATAGCATTATAATCTTAGACAATCTCACCATGCACGGGCGGTGTACGATGAGATGTCGATAAATAGCATTAGAATCTTAGACATCTCACATGCAATGCGTGTGTACGATGACGATTCGACTAAATAGCATTTATAATCTGGACATGCTCACATGCTACCGTTGTAACGATGAGATGTCGATAATAGAGTTATAATCTAGACATCTCACATCACGCTGTGTACGATGAAGATCGATAATAGCATTATATATCTAGACATCTCACATGCACGCCGTTTGCTGATGAGATTGGATAAATAGCATTAAATCTTAGACCTCACATGCACACGTGTGTCTGATGAGATGTATAATTAGCGATTAAACTTAGACATCTCACATGGCACGCCGTGTGTCTGAGGAGATTCTATAAATATGCATTAATTAGATCTTAGACATCTCACATGCACCACGGTGTACGACTGATGAATGTCTATAAATAGCATTATAATCGTTCCACATCTCACATGCACGCGTGTGTACGATGAGATGCTATAAATAGCATTATATATCTTACACAGCTCACAGTGCACGCGTGTGTATGATGAGATTGTTGATAAATAGCATTATAATCTAGACAATTCTCACATGCACTGCACGTGTTACGATGAGATTCGATCTAAGTAGCATTATAATAGTAACATTCACATGCACGCTCGTGGTGTACGATGAATGTCGATAAATAGCATATAACGTTAGACCATTCTCACTGGCACACGTGTGTACGATGAGATGTCGATAAATGAGTCATTAAATCTCGGACATTCTCACATGCCGCGTGTGTACGATGCAGATGTCGATAAAATCATTAATAATCTAGACATCTCACATGGCCATGCGTGTGTACGATGAGACGCTGTCTATAAATAGCATTATAATCTAGACCATCTCACATGCACGGCGTGTGTAGATGCGATGTCCTATAATAAGCATATAATCTAGACATCTCACATGCACGTGGGTACGAGAGTATGGTCTATAAAATAGCATTATATACTAGACATCTCACTATGCACGCGTGTGTATGATGAGATGTCGATAAATAGCATTATAATCTTAGACATCTCACATCGCGCGCGTGTGTATGAGTACACAATCGATATAAACGACAGCAAATTATGATGTCGTCATCTCTCTCGTGCGCACCCTGACGGTGCTAACGACGTGCAGCGCAATCCTCGGCAGGTGGTGCGCGGTGGAAGCGATGCTTCGGAGGACGAGGAACGAGAACGGGAACGGAGGGAGACCGTGTACAGCCAGCACCACTTGCTGGAGGAAAGCACGTCCCGCATCGCCGAGCTGGAGGAGGCGTCAAGCTGCCGCGGCGAGGTGCCAGGTAGGGGAATGTGAGAGGGAGAGAGGGAAGGTGATGTAGAGGGGAGGGGGGGAGGTGGTGGAGGAGTAGGCATCGGCCTGCATTGCATGAGCGGAGGAGAGGAGGCGGCAAGCCTATTGCGAGACCCACGTACGAATCACGGGGGAGGAGGAAGAGGGGGGAAGGTGGAGGAAAGCACGGCCCGCAATTCGCAGAGCTAGACGGAGGTGTAAGCTGCCGCGGAGCAACAGGTATGGTGGGAGGAGGGAGAGTGGAGGGAGAGAGGAGACCGCGGGAGGCGGTGGACGGAGGGCACGGCCGCATCTGCGAGCTAGAGGAGGCCGCAAGCTGCCTCAAAGAATCCAAACGTAACGAATCAGCTGGGGGAGGGGGAGAGGAGGTGGTGGAGAAGCGGCACAAGCGCTCGCGAGAACCCAGTAAACGAATCGAGGGAGAGGGTAGAGGAAAGGTGCTGCAGGAAGTGGCAAGATGCCCGCGAGAACCAGGTAAGAATCACGGGAATGGAGGGGGGGGAGGCGAGGCTCAAGAGAGTAATTAATGCACTCATAAAAACTGGATGAAATCATGAGTGAGGCCAGAGGCGATCATCTGGCTATCCAGTCATCGGGTCTCTCATCAATTTGTTGAAAACGATCCAATTATGATACATAATACGTGATGCAATTGATAATTACGATTCCAGTGATGATCTAAATGTCAGGCTCGAAGTCCAGAACCAGAGCAACGAGGAGGCGCCAGAGTAGCTAGTCGAGAGAAATCACAGCGATCAACCGATCGTGGAGCAGCAAGAAGCCAAGAAACTCTCAATTGTCGATCGGCGTACTAGGTAAATGCTAGGCTCTTACGTTTCTGCGGCGAAAAAGACGCTACGCAAGGGTACTACAAAACGTTAGCTCAAGATCACAAACTGTGGATCTGTGTCAGTTTCACACTGCATGTGTCAGTGTGTGGATTTTTCAGAACTAATTGTCACACCTGCATCTTATCTATCATTTATCACCATTATCTATCACCTGTGTGAATTGTCACACCTGTGTGGATTGTCACAACTGTGTGGATTGTCACAACTGTGTGATTGCCACACCTGTGTAAATTGTCACACCTGTGTGGATTTGTCACATCTATCTGATTTGTCACACCTGTATGACACAAGTCACGCCGGCATCATATCAGAAATACATACCATGTGAGTACAGTAACTCGTGCATACATTACCATGTGAGTACAGTAACTCGTGGCATACATTACCATGTGAGTACACAGTTAACTCGGTGGCATAACATTCACCAGCTGAGTACAATAATGTCGTGGCGTACATTACCATGTGAGTACAATAATTCGTGGCATACATTACCATGTGAGTACAATAATTCGTGGCGTACATTACCATAGCAGTACAATAACACGTGAAATTAACTGGAAAAATTGAAAACAAGTTGAGAGATCGAGTTTACATCGTCGTCGTCGTTGCTATAGGAACGCGAGCGCGCAGCAGCAGACGCTGGATCGGGAAGCTGCGGAGCTGCGGCGGGACCTTCAGCAGGAGCGCGAGGAGAACGAAGCCCACGTCAGCGAGCTCGAGGAGCAGCTGCGTAGCAACCGCAACCTCCTCATCCGCAAGCAGCAGCAAGGTGCGCTGGAGGAAGAGGGGAGAGGGGGGAGGGGTGGGTGCGGCCGACGGTTGAACGATGCAGGCGGTGACTCATGGGGAGGGGTCCGGTGGTCGGTATTTTTCTATTATCGTTGTCAGAAATTTCGTTTAGTTTTCTTACCTTTGTTTTGTGTAATTTCTTTAATTTTACATTACAAATATACAGGCCATCGAATATCCAGATTTTGTTGGCGAGAATTACCGCCCCAGAGGGCTGGTAACAGTAATTTTTATAACCAGCCCTTCCACATAATTACCAGCCTCACAATTTGTTGTAAAATAAGGTCAATGTTTCACGCTTGCATCTTTATTTCAAATTTGTAAAATGTTGATTAGAGTTATGGTGTGATTTCCTCAGGTAAAACAGTAATGTAGCATAAATAAAAAAAGTTAAGTTCTCGCTAACGACGGCTGAAACCACCGCTCGGAGGGCCGTGTTTGCCAATGTTACCAGGCCCCCAAATAATTGTCGGCATAATGTCGGTGGGCTGATGATAATTTCGCGCCCTGCTATAATTAATTACTTTAATTAATTACTTTATATAAATAATTAATGTGATTTCTTTTATTTTTTTAAATTTGCTTTATTAATTGATGATCGTAACAAGTGATGCTTATTCAAGTTATGATTACACCTTGGTTTATAATTACTGACAAAAGGACAGCTAGATGTAATTTTAATCATTACATCTTTAACATATTTTAATCTATTTAATTATTACATCTATGTGACGAGATCGTTGCAGTAAGGTAGAATAACATCTAAGCGACGACACGATATTACAGTGAAAAATATATGATCATATATAATACATAATATATATATATAATATAATAATAATAAAATAAAAATATATAATAAATAATATATAAATAATAATTATATAATCAAAATATATGATAAATAAGTATATAGTAAAAATTATATAATAAAAATATATAACAAATCATATAATAATATAATACAATAATCTGTGACAGTGATCTCACTCATCAGCCACTCATTCCTC